AATGAGATAAAGAGTTGGTCCTTTGAGAAAATCAACAAAATAGACAAACCTTTATCCTAACTAACCAAAATGCAGAAAAAGAATATCCATATTAAATGAAATGAAAAGGGGGGCATAACAATAGACATGGAGGAAATACAAAGAATCATCAGGTCATATTTCAAAAACCTGTACTCCTCAAAATTGGAAAACATTAAAGGAAATGGACAACTTTCTGAATAAACATCACTTAACAAAATTAAATCAAGTCCAGATAAGCAAATTAAACAACATATATTGCTGGAGAATTAGAAACAGTCATCAAAAGTCTTCCAACCAAAAAAAAAAAAAAGCCCAGGAGCTGATGGTTTCAATGCGGAATTCTACCAGAACTTCAAAGAAGGGCTAATACCAATACTCCTCAAATTATTCCACACAATAGAAACAGAAGGAACATTGCCAAACTCTTCTTATAAGGCTACAATTACCCTGATACCTGTTAGAAATTTTCATAACACAAGCTCTCTACCAACGCAAAAATCCCAATGAAACCAAATCACAACAAAGTCTTGACCACACCCCCAGTCTATTTTAACTGCTCCCCAGTAAATTCCCATCGTGGTCACACCCTTCCCCATGGTCTCATTGGTGAGGCCACCTGAGAGTTGTCTTGAACCTCCTCCAGGTTTGGCAGGAATAGAGACAGGGCCTCCAAATATGGAGGCCAGAGACCAGGACTTACAATACCCAAACCACAAAAAGATGTTACTAAGAAAGAGAATTACAGACCAATCTCAGTCATGAACATTGATGCAAAAATACTAAATAAAATCTAAGAACACATCAGAAACATCATCGACCATGATGAAGTCGTCTCAATAGATGCTGAAAAAGCTTCCAACAAAATTCAACATCCATTCATGATAACAGTCTTAGAGAGAACAGGGACACTAGGAACATACCTAAACATAAAAAAGGCAAGCTAAGAGCCAACATCAAACTAAGTGGAGAGAAACTCCCAGCAATCACACTGAAATCAGAAACAAGACAAGGTTGTCCACTCTCTCCATATCTATTCAATATAGTTCTTTTTAAAAAATATTTCATTATGTATACAATATTCTGTCTATGTGTATGCCTGCAGGCCAGAAGAGGGCACCAGATACCATTACAAATGGTTGTGAGCCACCATGTGGTTGCTGGGAATTGAACTCAGGACCTTTGGAAGAGCAGGCAATGCTCTTAATGTCTGAGCCATCTTTCCAGCCCCCCTCAATACAGTTCTTGAGGTCTTAGCTAGAGCAATAAGACACCAAAAGGAGATGAAGGGGATACAAATCGTGAAAGAAGTCAAACTCTCACCACTTCCTGATGATATAATAATTTATATAAGCAACCCCACAAATTCTACCAAGGAACTTCAACAACTCGTAAACACTGTAAGTAATGTACAAGATTACAAGATAGAAGATTAACTCAAAAAAAAAAATCAGTAGCCCTCCTGTACACAGATGATGAAAAGGCTGAGAAAGAAATCAGAGAAACATCATCTTTCACAATAGCCACAAATAGCATAAAATATCTTGGAGTAACTCTAACCAAACAAGTGGAAGACTTCTATCATAAGAACTTTAAATCTTTGAAGAAAGAAATTGAAGAAGACACCAGAAAGTGGAAACATCTCCCATGCACTTGGGTAGGCAGAATTAACATAGTAAAAATGGCGATCTCACCAAAAGCAATCTACAAATTCAATGCAATGCCCATCAAAATCCCAGTAAAATTCTTCACAGACTTCCAAACAACAGTATTCAACTTCATATATATATACCAAAAAAACCAGGATAGCCGAAACAACCCAGTACAATAAAAAACTTCTGGTGACATCACAATGCCTGACATCAAACTCTAGTACAGAGCTACAGTACTGAAAACAGCCTTGTACTGGCATAAAAACAGACAGGAAGACTGATGGAAACAAATTGAAGACACAGATATTAATCCACACACCTTCGAACACTTGATTTTTGACAACGAAGCAAAAAATATCAAATGGAAAAAAGAAAGCATATTTAACAAGTAGTGCTGGCATAGCTGGATATCAACATGTAGAAGAATGAAAATAGATCCATATCTATCACCATGCACAAACTCAAGTCCAAATGGATCAAAGATCTTAACATAAAGCCAGCCACACTGAACCTCAGAGAAGAGAAAGTGGGAAGTACACTTGAATGCATTGGCACAGGAGACTACTTCCTAAATATAACCCCAGCAACACAGACTCTGAAAGAAACAATGATATCTCCTGAAACTGAAAAGCTTCTGTAAATCAAAGGACATGGTCAACAAGACAAAATGACAGCTTACAGAATGGGAAAAGATTTTCACTAATCCCATATCAGACAGAGGTCTGATCTCCAAAATAGACAAAGAACTCAATAAATTGGTCATCAAAAGAGCAAATAATCCAATAAAAAAAATGGAGGTCAGACCTAAACAGAGAACTCTCAACAGAGGAATCTAAAATGGCTGAAAGACACTGAAGGAAATGTTCAACATCCTTAGTGATCAGAGAAATGCAAATTAAAACAGCTCTGAGATTCCATCTTACACCTGTAAGAATAGCCAAGATCAAAAACACTGATGACAACTTATGTTGGAGAGGCTGTAAGGTAAAGGGAACACTCCTGCATTGCTGGTGGGAATGCAAGCTGGTACAACCCCTTTGGATGTCGGTGTGGTGATTTTTCAGAAAATTAGGGAACAATCTTCCTAGAGACCCAGTAATTTCACTTTTGGGTATATTTCCAAAGGATGCGCAATCGCCCCCAGAAGGACATTTGCTCATAGCAGCATTGTTTGTCATAGCCAGGACCTGGAAACAACCTAAATGCCCCCTGATCAAAGAATGGATAAGGAAAATGTGGTACATTTACACAATGGAGTACTACACAGCAGAAAAAAAATAATTTTCCAGGCAAATGAGGGAGCTAGAAAACATCATTTTGGGTGTGGTAACCCAGACCCAGAAATACAATTATCACATGTACTCACTCATAAGTATTCTTTAAACATAAATCAAAGAAAATCAGCCCACAAATCACAATCCCAGGGAACCTAGACAACAATGAGGACCCTAAGAGAGACTTACATAGGTCTAATCTACAGGGAAAGTAGAAAAAGACAAGATCTCCTGAGTAAACTGGGAGCATGGGCACCTTGGGAGAGGGTTGAAGGGGAGGGAGAGGCAGGGAGGGGAGCAGAGAAAACTGTAGAGCTCAATAAAAATCAATTAAATTAAAAAGAAAATGTTTGCTTGAGGCATTCTTACAGCCCTACTGAAGGCACTGAATAAAGTGCTTTTTATAAAGGCTCAAAACCTTTATTAAACAAATAACAACACTTTTTTCCAGAAGCCAGACTATAGGTCAGTTTCAGCTATTAGGGACTAAGCACCATATATTTGCTAATTCTGAAACATCCCACCAGTTATATTTTCATTCTGCGCTGTCATAGTTTCTAAAAAGTTCACATGTGGATGGCATATCTTATACAAAATACTGGTTTACCTTCAGTGGTCACAAAATACCATAAGGAATGCTGTTCACATATAGCGGGACATACCTGGGATTTTGAGAAAGGATTTACTGAAAATTAAAATATCACATGTTCAAGTTCAACATAATTTCAAACTATATTTTGTCTTCCAAGTTAGATATCACATAAAAACATAAGATGATTTTTAGAAAGCTCTGCCTTAATAGTCCTAATTATTTCTAAGATATAGGCAGTTAAAAATATTCTACTTAAAATTAGCTACAGGGAAGGTAAGAAACTGTAATAAATAATGCATTTAAGTGTTCTGAAGGAATTATAATCAAAGCTTCCAAGTCCATTGTATCAATTAATAAAATTAATTTTACAATTTGTAGACTCTGTACCTAGGAAATCCTGAAAAACTCATCATTATGAGTTAATCATGTAGTTATATAAAGGTGGGCATGGAAAGAGCACCACTAAGATCCAGACAACTTTAAAAACATGCTTAATGTACGTCAGCATCCACTCCTAACTATTACAATGTAGACAGAAGACCCTGGCATGGGCAACTCAATATTAAGCTGAAATTGGGCACAATGAATACAAATTCAGATGTACTTTAAGGAATCACTGATACCTTAATAAATAGAAGGTATCATGGATTTTTACTACATTCTTTTTGGTCATTTTATTGTGGAAAATCATAAAGACACAATCCTAACTATTTATAAAGTCCATAGCATTGAGTAAATTTACACAGTTGTAGAAACCATCTCCAGAATGGTTCCGTTGTTCAAAACGAAAACTCTGTACCCATAAAACAACCCCTACTTCCTCTTTCTTCCAGACCCTGGCAACCACCATTCTACTTTCTGTTTCTGTGAAAACTGACTGACTGAGTCACCTCATGTAAGTGTATATACTTGTCTCTTTGATCAGTTTCTGAAGCTTAATTGGCAATGTAGATGAGGGTAAGTCCCTCTGTCAGGTCCTGCCCAGCACATGCTAAGTACAGTATGATTTTGTGTGGTAGACTAAGTCCTGTTTACAAATGAGAGAACTGGGGCTTCACAAGTAGAAACACCCTGTTACATTGGGTCAATCCAGCTTCACCAGTTTCCAAAGTTAAATCTTTTCAACACATCCAAGGCCTTCTGAAATAGTATTTTCAGATCTTTTTAAAACCACATATTCCCCCAGCCAAGTTAAAGTGAGTTCTTCCTTTTTTTTTTACAATTTGATTTGCATGTTGTACATGTTCATTCTTTTTCAAACAAACTACCTAAAACCCTATCTCAAAATGTTGCTCTAACTCTGCCCCACAAGTTTGTTGATTAAGTTTCCTCCCTGTTTTTTCAAGTAGGGTTTAGAAAAGAAGAATCCGTCCACTAGTTAAAGCTCCCGAAATGTATGAACTTCCCAGTGTGTAGCACATAACAGTGGTGAACAGAATAATATGTTTAAAAAGTTAGACTTACATCTACAGAAAGGAGTCCAAGTGTCTGCATCTCAGGTACATGCCTGTCTCAGGGATCACTTGCTCTTAGCCTGACACAGCTGCCTGGGACTCAAATCCCTACCAATGTGACACCGATACTGCCCAACCAGAAACCCTGGAAGGCAAAATGACTACAATACCCATAATTCATGCTCCACACCCAATACTGTCCACTCATGGATCTGGCTAGAGTTTCACTCGGAGAAAATGGAAGTTGGAAAAGCAATGAGGGATTGGATGAGGGTTGGGTAGGGTTTGGGACGCATAGAAGAGGGTACATCTAAAAACAAACTGGACCTATGGCTCTCTCTCCATAAAAAAAAAAAAAAAATTAAAGAGGTTTGATATGGGCCAAAAAGTTCAAAGACTCCTTCGGTATTGGCAGGAGATGAAAATTCTTTGTGCAAACAAATGTTCTTGCAGCTGTGGAACCGGCCTGGCTGGATTCTCTTTCGGTGATTCAGAAGTGTGGGCACCTCTGTGCCTAGGGAAGCAGGTGAACCGAGAAGCAAAGAAGCCAGCCAGCCCCAGTGCTCCACATCAGCACACCCCGCCCCCTGGTGCCCAGACATGCTGTAGGTGTGTGGAAATGTTTTCACCCCTTATTTTCCAAAACTTTCTTACTTTCCTTTCTTTAAACACTTCACTTACAAAGTGCTTTTAAAGCTGTAAGTGAAATGAACCTCTGTTTCCATTCTGGTAATCACTTAGCCTTCTGCAAATTCCAGCATTATTCCCAGTTGTTCAGAATTTAGGAGAAAGAAAATGAACAGGGAAAAGTATAGGTTAATAAAGTATATGCAGTATTATTAACAGGAAAGTGTTTAAGAACCTAAAAAGAAGAAATGTGTTTTACTCATTTTCTTCCTACGGCCTGTCTGTCTAAGCCCCTTCCTCACTGTGAGATACGCCACAGAAAATGAGGAAGACATGACCCTTGGTCTGGGTTTAAAAACATACCATGAGGATTCATCAAAGCAAGCAAGCAGCCGAGGGAAGACCAAGAAGAAAATCTTCCATTCCTTGTTCTCCTTTCTCTGTCCCAGAGTTCTTCAAACCCCTGCCTCTGTAACTAGCTGATGAAGTCACCTGGTCCAACCGCAATCCAGGTAAATCTCCTCCTTGAGTCATTTGCTAATTCTGACTCCTGATTGCTTCCCAGGGAATGGCTTGAGAATTTCCATTGCCGCAACACTGACTTTTCCTCAAGTAGATAAGCTGCTTCCTTTCATTGGACGATGAGAAATATTCTACCTCTCATCTGCCTTCCCCTGATTTAGACATTCCCACTTAGTAAATTCCCTAATATACTCTTATATCATGTTTCTTTATTTTATGGAAGTATGTATATAGAAAACACCCTTATCTTTATTTGAAGGCTGGACTTTATTTCATTCCTACTTCATTGACTTAGTAACACACACACACACACACACAGAGGTATTTCTGTTAAGCAAGTACTCAGTGCAGGAAATAATAGCAATATTAACATTTGGGTTTTAATGCTCACTACCATTTCTGTTCCACTCAGTGAGTTTCTACAAGGAATATTACTGATGTGGGAGTGTCATATCTCAATCTGTTGATTTCATTGGTTAAGTTATAATAAACCAGCTGCTTGGCCTCATGGCTGGAACATAGATGGGAGGAGTAAACAGAATAGAATTCTGGGCGGAAGAGGAAGTGAGGTCAGACTCTGCTCTGCTTCTGGAGAGACGCCATGCTCAGCTCTCCCAGGCAGCTGCAACCCACGATGGACTTAGGCTAGAATCTTCCCGGTAAGCGCACCTTGGGGTGCTTACACACACCATTAGAAATGGGCTAGTCCAGGTGCGAGAATTGGCCTGTAAGGGCTAGAGTTCATGGGCCAAGCAGTTCTTTAAATGAATACAGTTTGTGTGTTGTTATTTCGGGCATAAGCTAGCCAAGCGGCTGGGGTGTTGGGGACGCAGCCCCGCCGCCGCTCCTATTTCAACAGATGGCGCCCAGACGTGTGGCTAACTGAATCCACAAAAAGCCTGAGAAAGCTTGGGAAAGAATGGAGTGAAGCATGTTTTCTTGGTAGCAGTGATTTCTCAAGTCTGCTCTGCTTGCTAGAGGCAAGCAAGCGCTCTCATCTAAGAGAGGCTTCCTGACTCAGCTTCAGCTGCAAAACCCTGCAGCTCATTAAGAGGTCCTGCCACGAAACACTTAAACAGTGTTGGTGAAAAGCTGAACGCATGCTTTTCGGTTTTCAGCCTTAGCAGGAAAAAAGCTGTGCCGTTTAAAAATGCTGGCTTTCTGGGCCGTCCTGCCAGGGCAAACTCTGACTGAGGCAGGAGAGCCAACTAACGAGAGAGGACTTGAGTGTTGTCTGTTGTAGCCCACTGGCTGGCAGGGACCTTGAAACGCCATAGAATTGTGTCTATATACATGGCTACAGCCTGTATCTCCGCCATGAGGCTGGAAAGCTAAGGAATGGACTGGATCTAGCTGGCAAAGCCACTCATATTGCTCAGTAATTTAAAGGCTCGTGTGGTCAGAAAAAGAGAGATATACAGTAAAGAGATTCAAAGACAAAGAAAATGTTTAAACGATTTACAGTGTGTTAAAAATATATGCAAGCTAAAAGTTAAAAGTTCTTAAAAAAAAGTAAGAAAAAGAGAAGTTGTGTGTGGTAGTACACGCCTTTAATCCCAGTGCCTAGAAGGCAGAGACAAACAGATCTCTGTGAGTTCAAGGTGTGGTAGCAAACACCTTTAATCCCAATGCCTGGGAGGCAGAGACAGGCAGATCTCTGAGAGTTCAAGGAGAGCCTGGTCTACAGAGTTATTCCAGGTCAAAGAGATACAGAGAATATACAATACAGTTAAAATAAAACGTACAAAGATGGAAAATACACAGAGAATCTTGATACTGTATACTATTATGCTCTCTTTGAATTGTTTGAATGCTGAGGAAGGAGCAACAGCTGCTAAAAGATATTTGTTTATAAATGCTGCTGAACTAATCCATCGTAGAGATTTTGATGCCTTGACTTTGAAATTTGGATCTAAGGACATGATACTTTGGAAAGGAGTTTCTTTTTTTGTTTTCACAGAGGATGAGACCCTGTTCATTTCTTCTATTCCGATATGGTATGATGGACCACGCCCTCCTGAACGGTTGCTGTGAATACCTTCAAAAAATTGCTTAGCTCAACTTCCAACTGAGATGAAACTAGCACACAGGTTATACCATAAAAGACCTAATTAACGACGCCCCCATTCAGCAGGAAGCAGTTTGGAGAGAAAAAACTACGCCCATGTTCCCAAATATTGTTTATAAATGTTCTTTTACATTTAAAGGGGGATATGATATAGATATGAATAATTTGCATTAGTATAGATTTTGCTTTATTGATAGAGATTTAAGGTCAATTTTAAATGTATATAGGTTGTTAATGAATAATCATTAATAGTAGTTAAGCTTGTAGTTATGTTAGTTAAGATTTTCTCATGTGCATAGATATATTTTAGATAGGCATTCTTCATATCTTTCAAAGGCTAGAGAATATGGCATTTTACATGTTTTAATAACTTAAGACTTTTCATGACAATGAGACACTCTGCTCCTGGCAGCACCAATCTACTTCAAGAGGAAGATGGGCATCGAAGAGGATCCTTATGGAGTTTGATAGCCATTTGGGCAAGAAACTGCTCTTGCCTGGACTATTGCATAAACCGGACACAGAGAACCCGCAGAGAGAGGACTGCTGAACTTGCCTAAAGGTGAGATGATCTTTCGGGGTTCCTGCTTCATGAAAGAGTCTGCAAGACATTCTTCAAGACAAGCAGATAGTGACTGCCTTTGAAAGTTCCTGCTTTGTGGAAATGTCTGCTGGAAACTATGGGCCTGTAGGCTGAAGATGGATGCCCCAACGGTACAGAGGAACTTTGGGTGACTGTCCAGGCAGTGAGATGTCTCTGTCATTTCTAGAGTTTGAGAGTTTGCTTATTTCTTATTTGTTTAGGTAATATTGTATCTTTCTGGACTGTTTGATGGAGTTAAGAATAGTTAGCTATAGTTATAGTTTTTCTTAGTTATGATATAGATTATTGTAATTTTTACTTGATAACTTTTTGTTATATGTAATTTTGCTATGTTAAGTTAAAGCCTTCTTTTTTTGTTTAAACAGAAAAAGGGGAAGTGATGTGGGAGTGTCATATATCAATCTGTTGATTTCATTGGTTAAGTTATAATAAACCAGCTGCTTGGCCTCATGGCTGGAACATAGATGGGAGGAGTAAACAGAATAGAATTCTGGGCGGAAGAGGAAGTGAGGTCAGACTCTGCTCTGCTTCTGGAGAGACGCCATGCTCAGCTCTCCCAGGCAGCTGCAACCCACGATGGACTTAGGCTAGAATCTTCCCGGTAAGCGCACCTTGGGGTGCTTACACACACCATTAGAAATGGGCTAGTCCAGGTGCGAGAATTGGCCTGTAAGGGCTAGAGTTCATGGGCCAAGCAGTTCTTTAAATGAATACAGTTTGTGTGTTGTTATTTCGGGCATAAGCTAGCCAAGCGGCTGGGGTGTTGGGGACGCATCCCCGCCGCCGCTCTTATTTCAACATATTACTAGCAGAATCTTCTTCTGACCAGTGTGTACTGTGGCTCACACAACTTTTTAAATTTTCTCCTTCCTTTTTTTTTCTCATAATATCAGAGTTCAGATTCAGACTTTTTCACATGGGAGGCAAACACTCTTCCAATGAGTTACATTCCCAGCCCTGAGTGTGTGTGTGTGTGTGTGTGTGTGTGTGTGTGGACAAATATATATGCACACTTACTGGTATACATACAGAGACCAGAAGTCAAAGTCAGTTCTCCACCTTCTTTTTTGGGACAGTACCTGGCACAAGAACCTGAAGCTGGCCAGCCACTCCAGGAATCCTTTTGTGTTGTCCTCCAGTGTTAGGGTTATAGATGCACACTACTGAAACTGTGTCTTTACATGGGTGCTGGAGATTGAATTCAGATTCCCAAGTTTGTGTAGCAAGCACTTTGTCCAACA